GTATGGATCGTGGATGGATACCTCCCTCTCTTTCTTTTTATTACATTTTATTAATATTTCTATTCTACACGACATAAATTGTAAATAAAAATTATGGTAAATATCATTAAATTATATTATATTCATTATTAGAAATGTTTGAGTTGCTTGAAGTTGCTTCTGCGTATGTCTTGGTCCTGGATTTTTCTTTGTATCGAGTGTGCGTGGACTGGGGCTCCACTGTGACTGGCAACTGSAAAGACCGCCTTTGAGGGCACTATAATGGTGGTACAGGTGGCGTGGTCTTGAGGTGGCCATTATTATGACTCTTATGATAGGTGTTCAAACATTTCTTCAATGAAGCACAGCCTTTATAGTTTGCGGTATATACAGCAGAACATAACGCACGTTTCGCAGACAGTTCGGAAGATTTGACACAGTCCATTAWGGTGTTATGTAGTCGCATTTAACACAACGTGGTGATTCACTACAGTAAGAGCGAGTGATGTGACCGTATCACTGACATTGTTTGCATTGAAAAGSGTRACGRGATTGGTGCGGTTTTTTGACAACTATTTTGGAGTTAAGGAGGGAGGATAATTAGAAGATGCTCCGGTTAAAATCCATTGCTTCTAAGACAACGGCGAATAGTGGTAGAGCCTGTTTGCTAATTTATTTTTGATGGAAATCAAATTTTTCTTTTTGAACTAATTTCCTCCTATATTTCTGARAATAATGTGTACTTATGAATTATGATGGTACTATTATAACAAAAATCGAATAAACACACACCGTTCCTTATACGTATTACTTAAACAACAGTATCAAACTCTTTTTTTGTCTTTATAAGCTTTCTCATCTGGGCGGAAAAACGTTGGACCATACGCATGCTTTTTTTAAGCGTTTCCATAGTAACGTAATTATATTATTATAATATTATGTATTGGTTGCTAAGGGTACCTAACCTAAGTATACCATTAATATCTATTGGTAAACATTAAATTACACTGCACACAACCAAAAAATATAATATTGTAGATAGTGTTTGCAGTATGAAATATTTATTGTGAAATTTTCACTATTTGATGAAATATTTCAAAAAAAAAAACGTGAAACAATGACATTTTTTCTAATATAAATATTAATTATGATTATTTATCAATAATGTAACCAAAGGAAAATGAGTAGTTAATGATTGTTTTCCGTAATATTATAAAATTGTGAAGGCGCAGAGTTATAAAAATTATACGTAAAAATARAACTTGTTTAAATATTTAATATATATACATATATTATAATACTGAAATATTTCACGCATTTAAAAGATTTCATGAAATTTTCAAACACCAATTGTTGCTAAATATTATCTATATTAATAAAAAGATCGTATTAAACGGCGATACCCGTTTGTGTACATTTAACCTTTTTTACGAATCACTTGCGTACAAATTATACAACTCAATTCCGTACACGAATTTTTAATAGGTACCTGCGATAAATGAGCCAAGCGTAGGAYTCGTTTCGWACATAAACTACAGCAAAAGTCATTTGATATTTGAATATCCATGGTAATACACGAAATAAAATGACTAAAAGCAAYGGAAACTCGTGTCTCGATATCATCATATACGTTCAACTGATCAATGGACATACGTCCGTATAGTAATATTATTATGATAACTCAAAACGTTGCCGAAATGTCTGGAGGTCGTCAATAACGTACACATTTATCTAAAATCGCATTATCGTTTAGAACCGAATTCCTTCCCAAGAACTTTTGGGATTTTGGTACGTTTATCTTATTGAAATTTTTAAAATATCTAAATCGTATCACTGTTGGGCACTGCAAGTTGCACAATAAGTCATCTATATTTGGATGAATGACATTTAATAGTTGTACACAAACGAGTCTTCGTTTTTTAGGTCATCATTTGTATTAGCTGGTTTTCACGTTTTTCGATGTTCGCAAACGAGATGTCAGTTTCCAGGTAAAATATTGTCAATAATGTGMACAAACGGTTGCATACTAGTTGCGGTCATGACGATTTTTGAGATAAACAGATATAACAGTTGYGGTCACGCCAATTTA